ATTGACCATATATGGTTATTTTTTCAGAATCTCTATCAGTGACCAGTGAGGAGTTCACCAATGGTACGTCAGCTGTCTGTGATGTCGCTGTCTCTCACTGTGTGTGTGTGTGTGTGTGTGTGTGTGTGTGTGTGTGTGTGTGTGTGTGTGTGTGTGTGTGTGTGTGTGTGTGTGTGTGTGGTCAGTGCCTCATCGTCCAATCAGATTGCTGTCCTCGCCATGTGACCCCACCCACTCCCCAGCATTATAATTGGCCATGTGATTGACAGCTCCATCGACTTGTAACTGTCTCTCTCTATCTCTCTCTGTCTGTCTCACTCTCTCTGTCTGTCTCTCTCTCTCTCTCTCTCTGTCTCTCTCTCTCTGTCTCTCTCTCTCTCTCTCTGTCTCTCTCTCTGTCTCTCTCTGTGTCTCTCTATCTGTCTGTCTCTCTCTCTCTCTGTCTCTGTCTCTCTCTGTCTCTCTCTGTCTCTCTCTCTCTCTGTCTCTCTCTCTGTCTCTCTCTCTCTCTCTCTCTCTCTCTGTCTCTCTCTCTCTGTCTGTCGTCTCCAGTCGGAGGAGTCCTGCGTCTCCGTCATGATCCTCCAGACCAGCCTCTGACTCCTCCCTCTAACACACACACTAAATTGTGCTGGTTTCTACTGGTTCCAATAGGTTCCAGTTGGTTCTTGTTTGTACCATCTGGTCCCAAAGATGGTTCCAGTAAGTTCTAGCTGGTTCCAGCAGGTTCCTACTTGGATATTTTGGATCTGGTAGAGTTTTCTTCTGCCAACTGGTTCCAGTTGGTTCCAACAGGTCTCTACTGGTTTCAGACAGGTCCATGTGGTTCCATGGTTCCACATCTGGAACACTTTATATTTCTATGATCCTCAAGTCCTGCCCACCTTCAGAGCTGACCCCTGTTCCTTTGGTCTGAAGTTTAACCAGCACCAGTCCAGTACTGGACCAGTGTCAGTAAAGACTGAGAACCTTGTTTTGTGTTTGTAAGCACCATGCCTTCCTGTATGACATCACAGACATCAGCCAATCAGATGTCAGCAGGCGTTGGTGTTCTACTGTGATGGAGTAGAATCTATGTTTGACCTCTCCTCTGTTCTAACCGGTTCCCACTGGTCGTAACTGGTTCCCACTGTTCCCAGCAGAGTGCTGATTATTGAGTGACTTGACCTTTGACCCTTGATTCACTGTTCTCCTCTTTTCTTTTCTCTTTCTTTGTGGTCGTTCTGTCGTTTTTTTCCAGTCGTCCCAGTAAAGGTAGCCCCGCCCACGGAGAGAGCCCCCAGTCTTCTATTGAGGGTTAACCTGGTCCAGTGTTTGGGTCTCTACTGATGATGCTGTGTTACTCTGAACCTTACTAGGAATAATGATATTGATTATCAGTATATTATCAATATATAGCAACTGATCAGCAAAGTACTACTGCAATATGAGTGTGTTAATATGTCGTCCAGCTGTCTGTCTGCTGTCAGGAGGGTGAGACAGGTCAGCTGCCTGTCTGTCTGTGACAGTCATGTGACCATAAGCTGACATCAGGTTTATAAAGTACTGTAGAGATGTCTCACTCCCCTCTGAATGTTCAGACCTGCAAAGACAACTAGCCTGTTAGCTAGCCTGTTAGCTAACTGCATCATCACATGGAGTTTATTTTTCTTTACAGTGTAAAGTTTATATATTGTTTGAACTTATGTATTTATTGATCTATTTATTGATTTATTGATCATCTGTGAGCCTTTTATTGATGTTTCAGAAAATACTGAATCCAGTTCCAAGATTCTACTCTGTTCTACTCTCAAGTATTAGGTTCTAATGTTGTCTGTTCTGTTGTTAGATTCTACTGAACTACTATCTGAATGAACCATTTCCACCTGGTTCTAACTGGTTCCAGCTGGTTTTCAAACCAATGGACAGAATTAGCATCAAGCTACCAAAAACAACAAATATTCACCAGCTTCACTTTTTACTTTTTGTCATTTCCTAACAAATTTTTTGTGTGTTTCCTGAGAAGAATCATAATATAAATAAAATATAAATATAAATATAACATTAATTAGGGTTTAATGAAGTAAACAAACCTGTAGCTGGTGATCTCCAGTGTTGTGAACGTTAATGAAGATCAACTTTATTTTATAATTCTGGTGTAAAAACATTTGTAGCAATAGAAGTGTCTCATATCCAGTGTGTTATTGATCCAGACCTCAGGTGTGATGAGGTGTGATCAGGAGTTTACCTGCTGACTGAACCACAGACTATATGACTCTCTACCTACTGATGTGTGTATCTCACCTGTGTGTAGTTCCTGTCGTGGTGTCTCTGTAGAGTTAGTGGAGCTTCGAGCTGCGTTCAACACGTCAGGTGTTAGCGTGTGTTTGTGGCTGTGACGTGTCCTCATGTTCAGATTATCGTCAGCATGGTCGTTCAGCTGTTTAAAGGTGTTGTGTGATTTTGAACGTCGTGGCTGTTGAACGCAGCTCGGCCTCACGATCCTGTGATGTGGATAGTTCACTCTGTATGGTATTAATATAAATGTACTGTTTACACACTATATGAAATGATGATGTACCATGTTAATGTGAGAACATATATATAGATCTCTGAATCTGAAATATGCAGCGGCCCACACTGTAGTGTGTGTGTGTGTGTGTGTGTGTGTCTGTGTGTGTTTGTGTGTGTGTATCTTAGTGTCATGTGATCAGGGCCAACAGGAATAAAGTTTATGTGAATGAACATTACGACTTCCTGTTTTTACTCAACTAGTTCTAAACTAACTCGTTAACCAGCACTAACAGACCCTACTCTAACTGAACATTGACCTGATAACCTGTGCTATGAGGCTCGTGATTTTACCTGTCCAGGTACGAGTGCATTCATGTGAAAGAGTCCAACCCTGTTCTTTTACATGTTAGCACTCATTAGCAGGTGTCCGTGTCTGTGTTCACAACACATGGCTTGTTAGCTTAGCTCGTTAACCAGCTAATTAGCCGTCAGATGAATTAGCCTTGGGTTAGCCCACCTGTTCTAATGATGCTAACGGGAGAGTATTCGCGCTGCAGTTATTACACCAAACACGCCACCCCTCCTCACCCATGTCTGGAATAGCTGGGAGTGAGGTTGAATCAGACACCGACAAGATGGCGACGTTGAGTGATGTCACAGAGGCTGCAGTGTTGGTAACAATTCACCTCCTTCAACCTCGGCCTGATGTTTGTTGTTTAGTTACTACATGACAGTTTAGCACCAGGATGATGTGCTGCTGTCAGGCAGGTTAGGGTTACACACTCACACACACACACACTCACACACTCACACACACACTCACACTCACACACTCACACTCACACACACACTCACACTCACACACTCACACTCACACACACACTCACACTCACACACTCACACTCACACACACACTCACACTCACACACTCACACTCACACACACACTCACACTCACACACTCACACTCACACACACACTCACACTCACACACTCACACTCACACACACACTCACACTCACACACTCACACTCACACACACACTCACACTCACACACTCACACTCACACACACACTCACACTCACACACTCACACTCACACACACACTCACACTCACACACTCACACTCACACACACACTCACACTCACACACTCACACTCACACACACACTCACACTCACACACTCACACTCACACACACACTCACACTCACACACTCACACTCACACACACACTCACACTCACACACTCACACTCACACACACACTCACACTCACACACTCACACTCACACACACACTCACACTCACACACTCACACTCACACACACACTCACACTCACACACTCACACTCACACACACACTCACACTCACACACTCACACTCACACACACACTCACACTCACACACTCACACTCACACACACACTCACACTCACACACTCACACTCACACACACACTCACACTCACACACTCACACTCACACACACACTCACACTCACACACTCACACTCACACACACACTCACACTCACACACTCACACTCACACACACACTCACACTCACACACTCACACTCACACACACACTCACACTCACACACTCACACTCACACACACACTCACACTCACACACTCACACTCACACACACACTCACACTCACACACTCACACTCACACACACACTCACACTCACACACTCACACTCACACACACACTCACACTCACACACTCACACTCACACACACACTCACACTCACACACTCACACTCACACACACACTCACACTCACACACTCACACTCACACACACACTCACACTCACACACTCACACTCACACACACACTCACACTCACACACTCACACTCACACACACACTCACACTCACACACTCACACTCACACACACACTCACACTCACACACTCACACTCACACACACACTCACACTCACACACTCACACTCACACACACACTCACACTCACACACTCACACTCACACACACACTCACACTCACACACTCACACTCACACACACACTCACACTCACACACTCACACTCACACACACACTCACACTCACACACTCACACTCACACACACACTCACACTCACACACTCACACTCACACACACACTCACACTCACACACTCACACTCACACACACACTCACACTCACACACTCACACTCACACACACACTCACACTCACACACTCACACTCACACACACACTCACACTCACACACTCACACTCACACACACACTCACACTCACACACTCACACTCACACACACACACACTCACACACACACTCCAGTTGCTACAGTTCATGTCCCTGTGCCAGTTTTTCTGTGTATAATTAACTTTAATCACCATCCACCTGTAAATATAATAATACACCTTTATATTGTAATTTTGTATTAAGAGTATTCACTAATGTACATCTCATATCATTGTCATTATCTGTCAAACTGTTGATTTCTAAAGGGCAATGAAATAATTATTGTTTATCCCTAAAACAACGGTGTCTTTGGGTTTGGGTTCTTTTATTGGGATAGTTACCGAAAGCTTCTGGCACATGCAGCCTCACCTAGAATATATTTCACCAGCCGCCACTGTTTATGTATATAATAACACATGGTTGTTAACAGCAGTGATGATGATGTGAGGTGTGTATGAACGTGTATCATTTCAGACGTGTGATGAACTGAAGGTGTGTGACGCCTCACTTCATGTCTGTGCCATGTGACTGTTTTTGAACTCAGGAGGCCGCGATCGCAGTTTTTTGCCACCGAAACTGATACTGATCACTTTGTCATCATTGCAGATGGCGTATGTTCTGTCGGTCTCACACACTTTGTTCCACACAGCGACATGTTGTTTTGTTTTGGTGGTCTGTCGGTGGGAGGCGGAGCTACACTACCCGGCACAGGTGAATGCAAATCTACCGATCACGTGTTTTAATGAAGATTGACCGATCAATTTGGAGCATCACTAAATTCATCACATGACTGTGTCTCCGACTGACTCTGGTTGTTACTGATCAAAGACTTGGTGCAGAGTGATGTCACATTATTATAGATGCTTCATTTATTGATCATTTATTGGTGGACAGTGTGTCATCATGACGTCATTGTGTCTCACCTGAGAACAGGAGGGAGGAAACATGGAGGTCAGAGTTCAGGTGGGAGACAGATACACTGGATGAACTTGTGGACAGCGGACGAGTCACATGACCTCCGCCCACACTGATTGGTATGAACACACCTTCACAGTTGTGGCTGTAAATGTGTGTATTTGACCTGTTGTGGCCAGAAGGTGTCGCCATGGTAACATGAAGCATCAGAAAGTGAACCTGTCCTGAAACAACACAGACTCTGACAAGGTCCAGTTGGACATGGACCAGGAAACATGAGAGCCAAGGAGGGAACAGGTGAGCAGCTGGATGTGGATGAATCAGGTGACTGCAACGATGAAAATGGCAAAGGACTTCCTGGTCTGGTTTTAGTCCAGGTTCTGGTTCTGGATCTAGTGACTGAATCTGAATCTGAATCTGAATCTGAGTGTTGTCGCGTGTGTGTGTGTGTGTGTGTGTGTGTGTGTGTGTGTGTGTGTGTGTGTGTGTGTGTGTGTGTGTGAGAGAGAACTTGAAGCTGCACTGTGTGCTTGCAGCCAGCAGGTGGAGCTGCAGCACCACATTGACCTGAGCATCATCATCCTCACTGTGAGGACTTCACTTAACTGAGGCACAAACAGGAAGAGAGAGAGACAGAGACAGAGAGAGAGAGAGAGACAGAGAGAGACAGAGACAGAGAGAGACAGAGAGAGACAGAGAGAGACAGAGACAGAGAGAGAGAGAGAGAGACAGAGAGAGAGAGAGAGAGACAGAGAGAGACAGAGAGAGACAGAGACAGAGAGAGCTGCAGGACAAGAGTGAAAGGTAGAAAATATTTAAAGAAAGAGAGAGAGGAAGAAGGGAGAGAGACACCAACAGAGAGAGCGATTGTTTAACATGAGAACAGAGGATTAACCTGTAGCTCTGCCGATCTGTGACCAGCTGTCTGTCTGTCTGTCTGTCCACCTGCAGACATGTCCTCCCGGCCTGAGAGTAAGACAGGTAAGCAGCTTCTTCTTTTTTCATTTCATTCTGTCTCACGTGTGAGCTGTTAGCCACCACACACTAAAAACAGTCACTTCCTGTCAGTTTCCCTCAGGTTGTAGTCTAAACTGAAAGGCTTTTATTTTGTAGCTTATGGTGTTGATGATGATGATGATGATGATGATGATGATAACTCTTCTTCAGCCTCTCAGTTCGTGTCTCTCACCATGAGACTGAAGGATAAGCTCCACCCACAGCGGATCAGACGCACTGAGCGAGTAAAACACACCCTGTCACAGAGGAGGAAGCCAGCTGATCTGAACCTGCAGGAACACACACTACATCACAAGGCACACACACACACACACACACACACACACACACACACACACACACGCACTACATCACAAGGTACACACACACACACTACATCACAAGGTACACACACACACACACACACACACACGCACTACATCACAAGGTACACACACACACACACTACATCACAAGGTACACACACACACACACACACACACTACATCACAAGGTACACACACACACACACTACATCACAAGGTACACACACACACACACACACTACATCACAAGGTACACACACACACACTACATCACAAGGTACACACACACACACACACACAATAATAAGTTGTTCCTCCTCTGGTGTGTCAGGACCAACTTTCATTACACTATATGGACAAAAGTATGTGGACACCTGAACTACACCTGTAGTCAGAGTCAGAGTCCTGTATAGAAGGATGTAGTCTGGAGAGTCTGTAGACACCTGCCTGAAGGAGGCGTGGTCTTTGAGGTGTGTCACAGGTGTGTTTGATAATGCAGCTGAGAGTTCAGCAGGTTGATCTCCTCCACCTCCATGGAAAACGTTCTGAGGTCAAAGGTCAAAGATGAGAAGCAGAATAATAAAAGAATCCGACTGAACTCACACTAAGATGTTTTTAAAATAACTTTATTTATAACATGGACGACGACAAATCCTCCTTTAACCACAGAAACAACCAGGATGAAATGTTGAAATAAGAAAACATGAAAGACAAAGACAAACTGACAAAGTTGAGTCAGTAAAATAATAATTAAATAGAAATAATGAGCTGAGAATAAATGATATTCAGACAGAAGTTTATAGTTTCCTGATGTTTCTATTTGGTGCGACAACATTAATGTATAGACTATAGTATTTAGTTGTGATGATGATGGTGATGATGATGATGATGATGATGATGATGATGATGGTGATGATGATGATGTAACTATAGATTCATCAGCTCGTTCTTCATGGCGACTCCTGACTGATGAAAGAGGATGAATCTGTATTTATGGATCTGAGCTTCAGTCCATCAGACAGAAACAGCTGCTCTGATGTTTCTACATGTATGTGGCTCTGCTGTGGTTTTAAATGTTGCTGCAGCAAGGCATTGTGGGACGGCATGTCTCCTTTCCTTTGGTAAAGGAAGCTCCAGTGTTTCCTAAAGGAGATGAGAGAGGAAGCAGTGAAGCTCCTCTCCTCATCCTGAAGAGAACTGGACCAGGACCTGGTCTCACAGAGAGACTGAATTCATCTGCTGCTCAAAGCTGTTTATTTCTTGATTATCTTAAACCAGACTGTGGTGCAATGCATTCTGGGTAAATTAAGACTTTTATCAATGTAAAAGACATGGCCGACCAAGGAACCACATCCAGCCTCTGAGCTCTATTTACCCTCGGAGACCATGTTCGTCTTCAGCAGCTACAGGACTTTTTACTTTGGAGGGTGAAACAATAAAAAACAAAATGGCTGCTGTCTCTAAAAACTCTTTCCCGTCTCTTTGCTCTCTCCATCTTTTCCTGTTTGTTGTTGTTGGTGCTGCTCAGAGCAGGTGTCACTGGTTGTTACCATGGTAACATTGGTCTTAGACCTGAGTTAGTCTGGAGCTTCCGTGTCTAACGTTTCTGTCTTAAAACAAGACGGTCATTATTTTTATTCCTCAGTCAGAGCGGCAGCCATTTTGTGTTCAGGTTGTCCGTCCGTCTCATTCTCGTGGACACGATATCTCAGAAACACCTTCAGGGAACGTCTTCAGATTTGGCTCAAACATTCACCTGGACTCAAGGATGAACTGATTAGACTTTGGAGGTCAAAGGTCAAAGGTCATGGTCAGTGTGACCTCACAAAACACTTTTTAGCTATCACTACAATTATGACATGGTCTCATCATTGCTGCTGTGTGTGTGTGTGTGTGTGTGTGTGTGTGTGTGTGTGTGTGTGTGTGTGTGTGTGTGTGTGCAGTCGAGGTGTGTGTTGGCGGACCAACAGCGGGCCGTCATCACTTCTCTGCAGTACTTCAAAGCTCTGGTGGACAGACTGGGACTGGACAGACCCGGAGTGGACAAACTGGTCCTGGACCAGTCTGTGGTGGGGGGTCTGCTGGGCGGGGCCTCTGGCGGGGTCCTGGAGGCGGTCCAGATTCTGGTCCAGCTGGAGCCACACCTGCACAACAGGTAAGTGACAGGTGTTGACCTTTGACCCTGGACATGAGAGAGCTGTCTCCTGACCCTGACCCGTCTCTCTCTCCGCAGTAAGACCGTCTCCACCTGTCTCACTCGTCTCTACCTGTCTCTGGCTCAGCTGATTCGATGGGCCGATCAGGTGATGCTGCAGGGCGTTGCCCACGACGACAAAGAGCCCACAGCCAGCGTTACCACGGTGATCAGAGCTGTGCTGGACGGGGTCAAGGTGAGGAAGCTAAGGTTCTTGGTGTCCTCAGTGTCCTGTCGTGCTCTGATGTCTCATTGTGTCTCACCTGTTCTTATTGTGATGTCTCTTGTTTCATCCTGTCCCTCTCTGTCTCCGTCCTGTGTTTCAGCTGTTCTGTTATTCTGTTCTGTACTTGTTGTCCTCTGGTTCTCTGTCTCCTTCTGGTCTCATTGTCCTCTGTGTGTTGTCCTGTCCTGCTGTGTCCTCTTCTGTCCCACAACAACAAAGATCCCGCAGTGAGTGTTACCAGCATCTTGTCCTGTTGTGGTCTGTCTCTCCTGTCTCCTGGTTTTGTCCTGTCCTAGTATTCGGTCCTGTTCTTCCTGTCTTCTCCCGTCTCTTGCTGCTCTGTCCCCTTGTCCTTTCTTGTTGTGGTCTCTCCTGTCCCCCGTCCTCTCCCCCATATAGTTTTTGTTGTTGTGTTCACCAGGATCTAGTTCGATTGGCTGCGGAGAGAGAGGAAGGCTCCACCCCTTTATCTCCTGTCCAATCGCAGCCTGCCATGGGACAAATGGGGGGGTTTGATGAGCAGGAGACGTCAGACAGGATGTCCACCTGCAGGAGTCCTGCACAGGAGGAGGACGGGGGGGAGGAGACAGTTTCAGCTCCTCCAAAACCACTCATGCCCCTCCCCCAGGTGCCCTCCCCACAGGGACTCAGGTGAGTCACATCAGGCACCTGGACTCTAATGATGATGATGTCACTTCACCTCCTCAGGTGTTCAGACACAGAACTGAAACACAGACTCTGACCTCATCAACATCAGTTCAGTGATTTTATATTGATTATATATTTGATTGTGAACAGCTGTTTTTGTTTCTGATGAATATGAAACAAATCTTCAGAATCACAATCACGTCATTGATTTCAAAGGTTTTCTCTTTGATTCAGTTTGATCATCTTTGGATGGTGTTGATCTGAAGTCCATGTGATTATTGATTGATCAGTGATCAATAGATGAAGTTAGATGAGTGAGTGCAAAGTGAAACTCTGAGCAGACGGTTCAGTCGACTGAAATAGACCAGCGTCTGAAACAAGAAGTAGAAAGACTGAAGACATCACATGTTGCCCTCCCCCTCCCCCCTCCCCTCTGCACTTCCTGTCTCTCTGCTGATTGACAGAGGAAGTGAGAAGTGAGAGAGACAGAAAGACATGAGCCGACACTTTCAGCTGCTCTTTGTTCCTGTTGCATGGAATTGTTTTTATTTTACGACTCAAAGAATTAAAACCCAGCAGGTCTTTGGACATCACTTCCTGTTCTTTAAATATCTGTGTCCACATCCTGAGATGAGCGGCCCACCACAGAAACCTGCAGCTGGTCTGAGACCATCTCAGGTTTACACCGACTGATAATAGACTCAGTAGATCAGGTTCAGATTCAGATTCAGGTTCAGATTCAGGTTCAGGTTCAGATTCAGGTTCAGGTCTACAGATTCAAACCTGTGGGTCAGATTAATACCCAACACCCTCTGACCTGAGTAAAGACTGGTCACCTGGGTAACAATCTGTCTCTCTCTCTCAGTCCTCCAGCTCTACCTCCTAAAAAGCGACAATCATTGCCAGGCCCCGCCTCCTGTAGGGTTGCCATAGTAGCACCAATGAGACGAGAGCCTGAAGTTGAAACACAGGTACAACAGGTGCGTTCATTCACACTCACACACTGTCTAACCATAGACACACACATGTTGCCATGGTAACAGTTTATTTGTTACTTTCATGTCTTTTAATGTGAAACTTCACACACTCAGACCAGGTGCACATCAAGACCACCTGGAGCCTGGACCTGGCCTAAGACTGGTGTCATGTGTTCACAATGTGTGTGTGTGTGTGTGTGTGTGTGTGTGTGTGTGTGTGTTACAGGATTGTGAGGACGACGACTATTTAAAGCGATGCTCTTCTTCTTCTGCAGACTCTGCTGCTGACAACACATACTGTGGTAACACACACACACACACACACACACACACACACACACACACACACACACACACACACACATTTCCAGTCAGCAGTGGGGGTGTGAGTGACTTTACTTCCTGTCAGTTGACAGAAATAGGAAGCTGTTGTCTCTTCCTGTCTGCAGAGAGGCGTTGAACTGCTGCCTCCTGCTGGAGAAACACAGACACACACACACACACACACACACACGCACACGCACACGCACACGCACACACACACGCACACACACACCTGTAACACTGTGTCTTCTCTCAGAGGAGGATCCAGACTACGACTTCCTCCACACGGACCTCTCCTCCTCTGAGACTCTCCCTCCTCTTCCTCCCCCCTCCTCCCCCCCACCCGCCCTCCCAGAGAAGAGACGACGCAGCGCTGCAGGTGAGGAAACATCTGACCTGTCTGTCTCACCTGTCTCACCTGTCTCTGTCTGTCTCACCTGTGTCTCTCTCTGTCTGTCTATCTCTGAACCACAGGAACGACCAACTCTGAGGCCCCGCCTTCTTTTGAGTTTGACTCCGCCCCCCAAAAACAAGTTGATCCTGCAGAGTCTCTGTCCTCCCCCCTGTCCCCCAGCAAGACTCCGCCTCCCCTCCCTGAGAAGAAACGACACAGTGAGTTAAACAGCGTTCAGTTTGTGTTGATGCGATATGAACAGAGGGAGAGGAGAGCAGTGCATCATGGGAGTTCCCCAGCAGTCTAGAGTTTTCATGTTTTTCCGTTACGACTTCAAATATGAGTCAGTTTATCCAGATCACGCCTGTTTGGAAAGTTGCTCCGGCGTTTTGGCAGATGTGAGAACCGTCCTGCCGGGAGAGAGCGTCAGAGAGCGCCGTCGCCCCGGTACAAAAACATGAAACTTGATCCGAGGTGAAATATAATATTTGTTGCTGCTCGTTAGTCTGAGAAGAAGAAGCTACACAGCTCTGCCTCTCTGAGCCTCTGTGTCAAATACACCAACACACTCCAATAAAATCAATATATAGAAATGAAGAGGGGAGATCTGAGTGGAGATGAGTGCGTCACACTTCAGTCAGGTACAGGTGTGTTGAAGTGTCACCTGAGCTGAGTGCTGATATCAGGAAGAAGGCTCCTGTCCTCCGGAGTCCGGACTTCTGAGTTCAACTTGTGAAGGTCAAACTCCGAAGTACAGGAGTCGGACCCTGTGCACTCTGCACCGAGAAACAGCTCAGGTCACATCTACAGCAGCATCACCAAGACCTGGTCCAGGTGAGTCCTGGACCAGGTGAGTCCTGGACCAGGTCTGACTGTAGAGAGAGATCTGCCTCCTGGACCCAGACTGGATCTGGTTCTTGTCACTGCTGGAGCTGGAAGAGATCTGTAACCTGTCTGTATCTCCATCTGTCTCTCTCTCCACCTGTCTGTCTCTCTCCACCTGTCTGTCTGTCTCTCTACCTGTACCTCTCCACCTGTCTGTCTCTCTCTCCACCTGTCTGTCTATCCACCTGTCTGTCTCTCTCCACCTGTCTGTCTCTCCACCTGTCTGTACCTCAACCTGTCTGTCTATCCACCTGTCTGTCTCTCCACCTGTCTGTACCTCCACCTGTCTGTCTCTCCACCTTTCTGTATCTCTCCCCCTGTCTGTCTCTCTCCACCTGTCTGTCTCTCTCTCCCCCTGTCTGTCTCTCTCTCCACCTGTCTGTCTCTCCACCTGTCTTCAGTCCATCAGTACCTCCAGTTCTGTTCATCGTACAGCGCTCAGCCACCCTCCATCTTCTATCAGACTCCGCCCACCTTCAGACAGCGAGAGATGGAGACTGCCTACCTGCTCACACACACACACCTGGACACAGACTCCGCCCCTTCACCTGAGCTACCTCCTGCTCCAGCTTTACCACCAAAGAAGAAACAGCAGGTAACAGGACCAGGACCTGACCTCTGACCTCTGATAGGTCACTTAAGGTCAATGTGGACTGGTTATGGAGGATGTCAGGATGATGATGATGATGATGAAGCTTTAATCTTATTGATCTTCATGTGAATTTGATTATTGATCAGGATTCAGCTGAAGACGACAAACTCACCACAGAGAACCAGAGCAGAGACAGGTGAGACACACACACAATCATACTCATACACACACACACACACACACACACTTGGACACAGAGTCAGTGACGTCTCTCTGCTCCACAGTCTGAGCTCCCAGCAGCAGGAGGAGGAGGAGGAGGAGGAGCAGGAAGAGGTGTTACTGACTGATCGGGAGGAGGTTCTCCACAGAATCACCATGAAGCCTGAGGTATCTGACCTCTGACCTCTCTGTTAAATATTAGGGATCGACCAGATATCAGCCTGGCCGATTATCGGTGATAAAATTTGCCATCGTGATTGTTTTTGTTTTGTTTTTTTTACTGATAAAATAAATGAATTTAAAAATGCGCTACTTTGGCTCTGATGCAGCCGCCTGTCTCTGGTCTGTAGTCACCACTCTGTGGTCTGAAGCAATGTCCCGCCCACAGCACGATCTGATTGGTTACACGTTGTAGCCTATCATGCTGAAGGGCACAGACCGGCACAGACGAGGGAGAGCTGTGTGTGAGCACGTTCACCGGTCCAAGACACACTGAGAGAGAGAGAGAGAGAGAGAGAAGCTAGTGCTAATTGCTAAGCTAAAGTAACTAGCAGATCTGAACAGCATGTAAACAACTGTCAGTGAAAGCCACTAAAAGCAGCAGAGAGTTCTGGGTGCTGGAGCATAACTAGAGTAAGTTTAAATGTATAGCAAGTAGTTAGACTCTGTGATGAAGAAAAGGAGGCATCACCTGTGATAAAACAGTCACTTCACTGACGGCAGCAGGTGAACGCTCACTCACTGTTACTGTCAAATCACTGAGCGAAGATGTTCTCTGAGTAAAGTACAAAGTGAGTCGGTGAAAATATCTCTGAGTAAACGTGTTACATTTTAAAGGGGGGGGGGGCATCTTATTTAGTGATAATAATAATAATTTAGGATAAAACTATGAAATGAAGGAGCATCTTTAGGTCACCAGGTGAAAAGTTCCCAGGTGAGAACAGCACCGAAATGAACCAGTTCAGTCAGGCTCTTTACAGTCTTTGCACCTGATCAGTGTTGTGCATATTTCTGGTGAACGCTGAACTGAACGGATCAGTTTACAAATGATGAACGTGAGCTCACGTTTCACGCTGCATGACGTGTCCATAGACACGGCGGTACAGGCGGTACAGACGGTACAGACGGTACAGACGGTACAGACGGTACAGACGCATCTACTACGACTGAAACCAGTTTGTTTCAGCCTTTGAAGTGAAGACACAGATTATATTTATATACAGATTTTAAATGTAACTCTATTGATGAATAGGAGGTTCTATTGGAGAAGAATATCAGCCTTTATTTATTTTAAAAAATGTAACAAATGAATTTCAACTAGTTCATTTATATGAACTGAACTTTGAGCTAGGTCTTTTTTTTAATTTACATAGTGAAGTGAGAGACAGACAGGAAAGTCAGGGGACGACATGCAGCAGAGGGCCACGGGTCGGATTCGAACCCACGGCCACTGCAGGTGGGACTAAGCTCATGTGGTACACGCTGTACAAGGCGAGTCAGCGAGGCGCCCTGAGCTAGTTCTTTTCAAGTGTGAACTGAACACTGCACCTGATAATCACTGATATTGACTCAGTGATCAGTTTATTAGGAACATTAAACTGATGCAGTCTGATACAGTCCTGCAGTAAATCCTCCTTCATGAAGGTTTTAATCTTCAGTTTGTTAAAACAGTTTCAGACAGATGTTGATGATCACTGTGGAGCGTTTACATTATACAGCTGTTTCTGTTATTTACCTACACTGACATAAATGGAGCAAATAATAGAAACACCTGGACGCCACGGTGACTGTCCTTGTACAGCTGTAGTTCTGTGTTGGTATATCTTCCAAATATCAGTTATTGATCTGCTTGATTAACGATAATCGGTAACGATCCTCAAAAAACCACATCGGTCGATCCCTATTAAATATCACTGGTTTAACCTTTGTCCTGACCTCTGACCTCTGACTGTCTCAGGAGGAGGAGGGGCCAGACGTGAAGGCAGCCTCTCCTGACATCCTAGTGGTCTACGCCACAGAGACTGACATCAGCACCGGTGAGTCCTGATCCCAGTCCTTAGTTAGTTAGTTAGTTAGTTAGTTAGTTAGTTATCCACTTAATTTCACTGTCAGAGTGTGATAGAACCACAATCATCTGAAGTGTGTGTGTGTGTGTGTGTGTGTGTGTGTGTGTGTGTGTGTGTGTGTGTGTGTAGAACCGGTCCTGTATTGTGAAGCCTTCCTCTCCACCTACAGGACCTTCATCAGACCAGATGATGTCATCAGTAAACTACAGCACAGATATCCTCTGCTGAAATCTGATTGGTCAGACTGTGTCTTGTTTTAGTTCCTGTGTATAACCCAGAGAGACAGTTTCTAATAGGACCTGCTGATCTGTGACATCATCGGTCTGGATCTGTGGACCAGGACAGAACATCTGTTTGCAGACGATGTGACGGTTTATGTTTCAGGTGTGTTGTATCTCACCTGGTCTTCTGACTGGTTCCACTAAAGAATTCAGTTGTTACCTGAGACCAGGTAAAGACCGAGACCTTTAAGAGTCCAGAGTTTGTTTCTTTAACTATCAACACGTACAAACACCTGTGTGAAGGACGTGAACCTGAACACCTGAAAGCTGCCAAGAAGACCTTCCACCTGCTGGTCAGAGTAGTGGACGAGCTGTGGTGAGACACACACACACACACACACACTTAAAAGCGTTCATGATCCACCAGTCATGGTAATAATAATGTGTGTGTGTGTGTGTGTGTGTGTGTGTGTGTGTGTGTGTGTGAAGTGTGATGGAGCTGGACTCTGATTTGCTGTTGCTGCTGATGGACCTGGTGTTTAGCCTCCTGATTGGTGGAGAGCTGGGCCCGGCTCACCTGCTGCGCTCCAACATCTTGTCTAAGATGGAGCAGAAGTGGCAGCGCATTGGTTCTCCACAGTCACTCCGCCCCCTCGCAGCCAGGGGCGTGGCAGCCAGGTAAAGTCATTCACCTGTCTAGACGAAGGCTCTACCTGCTGAGCTGTGATTGGTCAGCTGCTGACCCTCACCTGTCTCTGCTCTCGTCCTCAGACCAGGAACTCTGCTGGACTTCAGGAGTCAGGATTTAGCTGAACAGCTGACTCTGCTGGACTCTGAGCTCTTCTACAAGATCGAGGTGCACACCTTCACCTGTCTCAGCTGTCTCACACTCACCTGTCTCAACTGTCTCACCTTCACTTGTGTCTCACCTGTCTAGCTTCCGGAGGTGTTGCTGTGGTCTAAAGAGCAGAATGAGGAGAAGAGTCCGAACCTGACAGAGTTCACTCAACATTTCAACAACGTGTCCTTCTGGTAAAACTGACACAATTACTGACGTCCTGCTGCTGGACCTGGTACTGGACCTGGTACTGGACCTGGTACTGGACCTGGTGCTGGACCTGGTGCTGGATCAGTAACTGGACCTGGTACTGGATCTTGTACTGGACCTGGAACCGGATCTGGTACTGGATCAGTAACTGGATCAGTAACTGGACCTGATACTTGATCTAGTACTGGACCTGGTACTGGATCTAGTACTGGACCTGGTACTGGATCTAGTACTGGACCTGGTACTGGATCTAGTACTGGACCTGGTACTGGATCTAGTACTGGACCTGGTACTGGATCTAGTACTGGACCTGGTACTGGATCTAGTACTGGACCTGGTACTGGATCTAGTACTGGACCTGGTACTGGATCTAGTACTGGACCTGGTACTGGATCTAGTACTGGACCTGGTACTGGATCTAGTACTGGACCTGGTACTGGATCTAGTACTGGATCAGTAACTGGACCTGGTACTGGATCTTGTACTCGACCTGGTACTGGATCAGTAACTGGATCAGTAACTGGACCTGATACTTGATCTAGTACTGGACCTGGTACTGGATCTGGTACTGGATCAGTAACTGGACCTGGTACTGGACCTGGTACTGGATCTGGTACTGGATCAGTAACTGGACCTGGAACTGCATCTTGTATTGGACTTGGTACTAGATCTGGAACTGGACTGTGTCTGTGGTCAGTGTGGAGTCTGAGTGTCGAGGTTTTCCCTCCTCAGTCTGAACCAAGTCTGCACCTGTCCTCACCCTCTGCTGGTTTTACCTGGAACAGACCTACCTGTGGTCACGTGACCCTGCATCTGTCCAATTAAAACACAGTCCAGTTGGAGGGAAAAGTCAAATGTCTGTTAGTGTTGTGTGAAGTGACCTGATCATCATCATGTGGTTCACTGCTCCTCCTCCTCATCAGGTGTGTGTGTGTGTGTGTGTGTGTGTGTGTGTGTGTGTGTGTGTGTGTGTGTGTGTGTGTGTGTTCAGGGTTCGTTCAGTCATCATCCTTCAAGACAAACCTCAGGACAGAGAGAAACTGCTACTGAAGTTCCTCAAAATCATGAAGGTAAACACACACAGGTGGAGGGCGGCGCCCAGGTGTCAGCAAAATGAAAGAGTAGCATTAATTAGTCTGTTCGTTACCGTCTGAAGAACAGGGTTAGGGTTAGTTAGTTTTAGTTAGGATTAGTTGAAGTTAGTTAGGATTAGTTGGGGTGAGTTAGTTTTAGTAAGGATTAGTTGAAGTTAGTTAGTTTTAGTTAGGATTAGTTGAAGTTAGTTAGTTTTAGTTAGGATTAGTTGAGGTTAGTTAGGATTAGTTGATGTTAGTTAGTTTTAGTTAGGATTAGTTGAAGTTAATTAGGATTAGTTGGGGTGAGTTAGTTTTAGTAAGGGTTAGTTAGGATTAGTTGGGGTTAGTTGGGGTTTACTGGCTCCATTGGAGAATGTTTATATGTGTTTTCATGCTAACAAGCTAACATGGTAAGTGACCACTGTGTCCCTGCAGCACCTGCGGAAGCTGAACAACTTTAACTCGTACCTGTCCATCCTGTCAGCACTAGACTCCGCCCCCCTCCGACGCCTGGACTGGCAGAGGAGCACAGCTGAGGTGTGTGTCAATAATCAATAATCAATAATCATCATCTCATGCTCTTGAATCTCTTCACTCGTGTGTGTGTGTGTGTGTGTGTGTGTGTGTGTGTTCTCAGGCTCTGGAGGAGTACAGCTCTTTGATTGACAGCTCGTCATCATTCAGAGCGTACAGAGCAGCTCTGGCTGAGGTGGAACCTCCCTGTATACCTTACCTGTACGTTCACACCTGTACACCTCCCTATATACACCTTACCTGTACGTTCACACCTGTATATCTCACTGTATGCCTGTCTCACTCTCTCTCCGACCTGTCTCTCTGTCCAGGGGCTTGATCCTTCAGGACTTGACCTTTGTCCACCTGGGGAATCCTGACACCTTGATGACATCACAGGGTTCAAAGGTCAACTTCTCTAAACGCTGGCAGCAGTTTAACATCCTCTACACTCTGAGGAGTTATCAGCAAGCGTGAGTTAGAGCATCCTCTCAGTGCTCAGTAGATTCATCTGTGTCTCACCTGTGTCTCGCCTGTGTGACTCACCTGTGTGTCTCAGCTGTGTGGACTAACACCTGAACCCTGTCCCTCTGCAGGCCGTACTCTCTGCAGCCCAACGATGACATCATATTGTTCTTCAACGACTTCAGCGACCACCTGGCTGAGGAGGCATTGTGGGAGCTCTCTCTCAGGCTCCGTCCACGGAACACCCCGAGAACCAATCAGAGATGACGGATTGAAACAGACTAAACTGGGTTAACCTGTGCTAACCTGGTCATTACAAGGAGTTAGCCTGATGCTAACATGTTGATGGTAGAGAATGAGGACGACAAACCTGGTGCTAACCTGAACTAAACTGGTAAACTGGGCTGGAGTGATGCTAGTCAAAGGCTAGCAGAAGGATAGAAAGACTTGTTCAGAGCTGTTCATACACTGGGCTAACCATGGCTAACAGTGTGCTAACTCATACTAGCCTACCCTTCAAAAACCTGGACCTTCAGCTGACTGAGCAGCTTCATGTAAACAGAGGTTAGTCTGGAGCTAGCCAGGTGTTCACATGGACTAACCTGCATAGCTGGTGGGCGTGGCCTCTTGTCTCTGACCTCAGAACTGTACCTGTATTCAAAGCAGACTGACACCTGTCAGCTCTCCTTAATTTTAATAAACCTGGATACACCTGAGCACGTGTCTTTAATACAGAGAGCATTACATGACGTGATGATGAAGGTGATGATGAAGGTGTGGGGTGATGATGATGATGATGATGATGAAGGTGTTGGGTGATGGTGATGAAGATGACGATGAAGGTGATGATGAAGATGAGGGGACAGGAGGATCTGACTGATAGAATAAATAATGAAAATGTGGGAACTGATTAATTAATTTTAATGTCATGTGTGACGTCAGTGCAGGTTTGGAGGGAGGAGCCTGAATCTATGACATAATTTATTTATGTAGTTAAACAATAAACATTTTTATATAGTTAAGATTAGGTGAGAATATGGAGCAGGCAGAAGTCCTCCTGTGGAGGCTGAAGAGAGTCATCCAACAAGAGAAGAAGAGAGAAAAAGAGAAGAAGAGGGGGAAGAAAACGAGAAGAAAAGAAGAAAAGAAAGCGAGCAAAGAATAAGATGAAAAGGAGAAGGAAACAGGCAAAAGCGAGTAAGAAAAAAAGGAAAAAGAAGAAGATCGAGCGTCTCGATGAGCAGACAGAACTAACCGCACACCGAACACATCGAGCGGCCGCTGCTGCAAACAAACCGGGGAAACCGTGAAGAGCCGCCGGCTAACGGAAGGGCTGATCCCGGCAGCTTACCGACAGGATGGTCGGTCTACAGTTGATGAAGTGACGTGACCAGGTGAGCTGCAGCTTTAGGGTTAGCTTTAGTGTTCATGTGACTGAACTGTGATGGCTAACGGCTGCTAACATTGAGCCTGAAGCTAACGGCTGCTAACAGTGAGCCTGAAGCTAACGGCTGCTAACAGTGAGCCTGAAGCTAACGGCTGCTAACCCTGTGTGTTCATTCGGACCACAGCTGTGTAAGCCCGGTGTCCATGGACAGGTAGACCAGGTCCTGGGCTGCGGTGGAAAAGTCAGAATGACCTCCTCTCTGACCTCGTCTCCTCGACCTCCATGGAAAACGTCCTGAGGTCAAAGACGTGAAGGGGAAAGAATGTGACTGAACTCACACTGAGATTTATTTAGACTGACTTCATTTCTAACACCTGGAGGATCAATCCTCCTTTAACCACAGAAACAATCAGGATGAAATGTTGAAATAAGAAAACATGAAAGACAAAGACAAACTGACAAAGTTGAGTCAGTAAAATAATAATTAAATAGAAATAATGAGCTGAGAATAAATGATATTCAGACAGAAGTTTATAGTTTCCTGATGTTTCTATTTGGTGCGACAACATTAATGTATAGACTATAGTATTTAGTTGTGATGATGATGATGATGATGATGATGATGTAACTATAGATTCATCAGCTCGTTCTTCATGGCGACTCCTGACTGATGAAAGAGGATGAATCTGTATTTATGGATCTGAGCTTCAGTCCATCAGACAGAAACAGCTGCTCTGATGTTTCTACATTTATGTGGCTCTGCTGTGGTTTTAAATGTTGCTGCAGCAAGGCATTGTGGGACGGCATGTCTCCTTTCCTTTGGTAAAGGAAGCTCCAGTGTTTCCTAAAGGAGATGAGAGAGGAAGCAGTGAAGCTCCTCTCCTCATGAAGCTGCTCAGAGACTGAAGATCATTTCAGTTTGAAGCTTCAGGAGAGAAACAGATGTTTCCACCTCGGCCTGGGTCTCGGTCAGCGACAGGAACTTTTACTCGGTCCTTCCCCGTAAGTTGACATGAGGCGTTCAGGGACTAAAGTCCACACTGGACTCAGTTAATAAATCAAACCATTCCTGGTCCATTATAAACACGTCTACAGGACCAGAACCTGGACTGGACCTCAGAACAACAGCTGGTGTTTCTGAACAATATTGAATAATTTTTTCTTTAATTTTCCAACAGTGACATGTTCTTTCTTTAAAGACCAGGGCGTCATGGTGCTGCAGCTCCCCCTGGTGGTGACAGCTCAGGTGGACCTGGTCCTGCTGCTCGTCTCCCTGCTGGCCCTCTGGACCAGACTGAGCCACCTCAGTTACCCCAACGCTGTGGTGTGAGTGTGTTTGTTTTATACACCTGAGCCTCCTAAAGCCATTGACATCAAACTGCACTTTAAAAACTCTGTCTATTGATGCGTTCAGGAACACTCAGACATCTCTGCTTTGTGTGTGTGTGTGTGTGTGTGTGTGTGTGTGTGTGTGTGTGTGTGTGTGTGTGTGTGTAGGTTTGATGAAGTGTATTATGGTCAATTTGTGTCTCTCTACATGAAGAGAGTTTTCTTCATTGATGACAGTGGGCCACCGCTCGGTCACATGATCCTGGCCCTTGGAGGTAAGTTACCATGACACAACATTTGATGTCACGTGTACCATATTTAATTTCCATGATAAATTTATATAACTGATGTGTGTGTGTGTTGCAGCCTACCTGGGAGGATTTGATGGAAACTTTGTGTGGAACAGAATCGGAGCAGGTAGAAACACCTAACTGTATCCGGTTCAAACCAGTTTATCTCTGGTTCAAGTTTAAAACATTAATTCACTGTGACTGTTTACTTTTTCATAAACACCAACCTCTGTAGAACCACCATGAAACAGAATTAAAATGAGATTAAACTAGTCGAGTGTCCCAGCAGTGTGAGTGTGTTTTGTTGTACAGAGTATCCCAGCAGTGTGAGTGTGTGGAGTCTGCGGTTGCTGCCGGCGGTGTGTGGAGCTCTCTGTGTTCCTCTGGTTTACCTGTTGACTCTGGAGCTGAGGTTCTCTCACCTATCGGCTCTGGGAGCTGCAGTGCTGCTGCTGCTGGGTGAGTGTCCCTCATCATCGTTGTTATAACAACACGTCACAATAACAGGAGTTACTGTTGTTTCTATAGAGACAAAGGCTGGTTCAGTATCTGTGATGTCAATGTTAGGTCACGTGGAATGAAAAATGTGTGTGCAATGTTTGGGAAGTAAAATGACCATGAGGTGTTCGGGAACTAAAAGGAGCATGGGGCGTTCAGGGACTAAAATGAGCGTGGGGCGTTCAGGGACTAAAATGAGTGTGGGGCATTCAGGGACCAGGACTACTGTGGACTGATCTGCCTCCCTTTGATGCCTGGACCAGGTTGAACCAGGTAAATCCGTCGTACCTGATGTTCTGGGCTTTGATTGGTGTTTTCCAGAGAACTCTCTGATCGTCCAATCACGGTTCATGTTACTGGAGTCTGTCCTCATCTTCTTCGTGCTGTTGGCCTTCTTCTCCTACCTGCGTTTCCACAACGCTCCTAACAGGTGAGAATGACCTCTGACCTGTAACCTCCGGAGGTGATAGCAGTGTAGACAATCTATGGAGAGTTGTTGTCATGACAACCAGCTGTCTGCTCCCCCTCAGCTCCTGGTCCAGGTACAGCTGGCTGCTGGTCTGCGGAGCATCCTGTGCTGCAGCCGTCGGGTGAGACACTGATCTGATCTGAGACTGAAGGACGAGACGTCACAGTCAGTCTGATTCAAGTGTGTGTGTGTGTGTGTGTGTGTGTGTGTGTGTGTGATGTCAGGATCAAGTACATGGGTGTGTTCTCCTACCTGCTGCTGCTGGGCGTGGCCTCTCTGCACACCTGGAACCTGATTGGAGACCGAACTGTCAGTCATGTGAGTCCAGGTTCAAACTGAAACTCACCTGATCACACTTGCTTCAACTTAACCTGTGTGTGTGTGTGTGTGTGTGTGTGTGTGTGTGTGTGTGTGTGTGTGTGTGTGTGTGTGTGTGTGTGTAGCTCAGTGTGTGTGTACAGTGTGTGTGTAGGTTTGTGTGTCTGCTGGTGGTTCCTGTCCTCCTCTATGTATTCTGGTTCTACGTTCACCTGAGTGTCCTGAACCGCAGCGGACCACATGACCAACTGATGAGCTCCGCCTTCCAGGCCAGTCTGCAGGTACACACACACACACACACACACACACACACACACACACACACACAGGTTCTAGTGGTCCTTGAGTCTAGAGACCACTGAGAGGTTCCAGCACTCATTTAACAGGTTCTATGTGTCATGTACCGTCAGCGAGGTTCTGTATTTAGATGGTTCTACTGGTTCTAGAGGTTCTCGACTGTAAATGTAGATTTTGGGCAGAGACTGAAACTGTTCTCCACCTGTGAGATATTGTAACATCACAACTCTATGGAATGATTGATTGATTGATTGATTGATTGATTGATAGATTGGCGGTGTCTCTGTCTTCAGGGTGGTCTCTCCAGAATCACTCAGGGTCAGCCTCTGGAAGTCGCCTATGGCAGTCAGGTGACTTTAAGAAGCTCCGCCTCCCAGCCAATCCCCTGCTGGCTCCACTCGCACAAAGCCAACTACCCAATCAGGTGCTGCCAGCTCACACCGACCAACAGCCAATCACAGACCTCTCAGGTAGAGCTTGACTGGTGTGACTGTTTTTACCTGTGTGTGTGTTCAGGTATGAAAATGGGCGGGGCAGCTCCCACCAGCAGCAGGTCACTTGTTATCCCTTCAAAGATGTCAACAACTGGTGGATCATCAAAGACCCAGGCAGGTAGGTCACCTGTCTGTCCCGGGGCATGCTGGGAGGTGTAGTCCCTGTCTCACCTGTCTCTCTGTCTCAGACAGAAGCTGGTGGTCGGCAGTCCTCCTCGACCTGTCCGTCATGGTGACGTCATCCAGCTGGTTCATGGGATGACCTCGCGCTTTCTTAACAGGTAACCGGGTGAACAGGTGCACCGGTCACCTCAGGGGTGTTCTGTTTGACGGACAACACCTGAGGTACTGCAGCGAGTGGAGCAAAGTTGTTGTGTGTTTCAGTCACGACGTTGCAGCTCCCATGAGTCCTCACGCACAGGAAGTCTCAGGTTACATCGACTTCAACGTTTCCATGGCGGCTCAGAACCTGTGGAGAGTGGTGAGGAGATGATGTCATCAGTCAGTTCTGTCACTATTCATGTGCTGTAACTTAACACCTGAGACAAACGTATGTGTGTGTGTGTGTGTTCAGGATATCTCTAACAGGGAGGCAGAGTCAGAGGTGTGGAAGACAATCCTATCTGAGGTTCGATTGGTCCACGTCAACACCTCGGCTGTCCTCAAGGTGCTGACAGGAAGTGACGCAAATGACAAACCTGAGCTAGACATCCTTAGAAGAACATGATAACCTGTGTGCGTGTGTGCGCGCGTGTGTGTGTGTGTGTGTGTGTGTGTGTGTGTGTGTGTGTGTGTGTGTGTGTGTGTAGCTGAGTGGTGTGTCTCTTCCAGACTGGGGTTTCCGTCAGTTGGAGGTTGTAGCAGAGAAACTGTTTAAAGGTCACAGCAGCAGTTTGGGCTGGACAGTGGAGGAACACCGATATGGAACCAGTATGTCCCTGAGCTGACAACTCTAAACACAGATTCTTTGGTAGAATTCATTGACATCATCTGACCTGACACCACAGGTCCACCACCTGTTGGACCTGTAGCTTTCAGAGAAGTCCTGATCCGAGCTCTGCTCTTAACGAGCTCCAGATGTTGATCGTTTGAATTTAACTAGCTGTGATCAGCTGATCGATTCG